AGGGAGACGATTGAGTGCACGTCCTGGTGGTCTCAGTACGGGTCTGGCGCACCTGAGTTGCAGCGCTGCACTCTTCGTGTGATGCACATGTGGTCTTGCGCCTCTCCAGCGGAGAGGAATTGGGCAGTCCACGAGGGCATTCACACGAAGAAGCGCAACCAGTTGGCCTTTGAGAAGGTCGTTCAGCTGGTTGAGATCACCGCGAATGTGCGGTTGTCGGAGTATCGGCGGGCTGGGTGCGGTTATGTGCTGCCATGGCAGCGGGACGAGGGCATCCTAGACTGCCAGGCCGGACTGGAGTTGGAGCCAGTGCGCACGGGCACGCGTAGGGGGATGACGCCGGAGGAGATTGTCCGTCAGGTTGCGCTTATCACCCGGGATCCCATCGGGGTCTCCGCACCACCTGCCGCTGAGGCCGTATTCGATAGACGTGCTTCCATTTTCCGTCCTTACCCCAGGGAGGATGATTCCGACGAGGAGCCGGTACCCGAGGCAGCGGACCACCCCGCGCTCCGCATTCCCCGTGAGATCGACGAGACGCACCTGGACCCCGAGGAGGACACCAGGGCGCATACTGCACGACGGGCGGCTGACAGGGCGGAGAGGGAGGTGATGGGGGGAGAGGAGGAGTTGTGGGGACTGTTCGGGGAGGTCGCTTCAACGGGCGGCACAGGAGCGCGGGCGACGAGCCCCGCTCCGACGAGGCAGGAGTCGTCCATGCCGCCAGCTTCTGCTCCGAGTCCTGCACCGCCATCGCCCGTCGCGCCATATGAGCCGACCACGGCAGCAGAGGACACGGAGGAGTTGGCGTCCTCTTTGCCTCAGCGCGGACTACTCCAGAGAGGCGGGGCAGTCCGACAGCTGAGGTTACGATCACCTTCTTCGGGGGTCTTGCAGGAGGAGGGGGGACCGTTGGCAGCAGCAGTGGAGGGGGAGATGGCAGTGGAGGGGGGATTGGCGGACACGCCGATTGCAGGTGTGGTGGACCAGATAGTTGTAGCATCAGCGGCTTCATTGCTAGAGGAGATGGCAGCTTCAGTGTTGGCAGAGGAGGCACCAACGCCAGGGGGAGCAGATGCAGTGGAGGGGCAGGCGGGAGCAGCTGGAGGAGCAGCAGAAGGAGCAGCTCGAGGAGCAGCTGCACTGGATGGGCTTGTGGCTGCAGCAGCAGGAGCAGTGAGACGAGGGTCGGATGCAGTGGGGGGGGGAATGCCAGGATTAGTGGAGGAGGACATAGGGGCACAGGCGGAGGTGTCGTGTGGGGGCGGCGACGAGCGCCTCATGCAGCAGTTCCTCACGGAGCAGTACGATCCGGTCATGGCGGGTATGACCCCAGGTGTGGCGAGGGGGTTGGGGATGTCGGATTCGCAGATGGGGAGCCACCTGGACTTAGATTTGTCGATGGGCCTTCCACCTAGTTGCGGCGGGGCGACATCGACGGATCGCGTTCCATCGAGGGACGACGCGGCTGGAGAGAGTCTCACGCAGCCCCAAAGAGTGACGATGACTGCGTCTCCGGATGCGGCACGCGACATCCTAGAGCGAGAGAGGGCTCGACTTATGGCATCGACTAACCCGCGTGCTCAGGCATTCGCACGGGCGTTGGAGGACGCGAGGCATCGAGAGACGGGGGGATTGTGTGGAGGGTGGGGTCACTGGGGTGGTTGCGGGGGAGGATGTTGTGGAGGGGGTGGCAGTCGAGGCAGGGGGGGGGGGGGGGGGGGGGGGGGGGGGGGGGGGGGGGGGGGGGGGGGGGGGGGGGGGGGGGGGGGGGGGGGGGGGGGGGGGGGGGAGGACGTTGTGGAGAGAGTGGTGGCATGGGCGGACGCTGAGGCTGTGTAGGGTGGGCGATCGACAGCGGATGTTCATGTGGAGGGCTTGCAACAGGTGGTGGATGAGGCTGTGCAGGCAGGACGGCGGCGAGACGAGGGTGTGGGTGACGCACGATGTGTGGTCCGGGAGACAACGACGGGTCTAGTCGTTCCGTTCTTGGGCGTGCACTTGGCTCAGGGCCGACAGTCACAGCCGGTGTCGGTGGCAGTGCATGGTGTGTCGTCGCCCGTTATCACAGATTTGGGGTCCGAGCCGGTGGTTGCGCCACCGTGTCTTCCTAGTCACTTTGCTCCACAGGAGGTCCGCCGTCCTTTGGATGCAGACGAGTTGGCGAAAGAGGCTGTCCACGATGTGACTCGCTTGGACCGTCGGGTCTTTGACCAGAGGCTACAGCATCCACCATGGCAGGCGATCCCTCCAGTTCCATGGGGTCCTACATCGCCGGTGTGGTCTGGGTCTACCTCCACCGGAGCACGTACGGTGGGAGATGTTCCAGGGGTTTCAGGTGGCGTCGTGGAGACGACGCCACGTACACGAGACATGCCACCCCCTCCTCCTAGACCACCTGTAGGTGATCCGTCATCGTCGCCCACAGGCAGAGGCTCTCGATCTCCACACACGCCTGGGAGGTCTAGGATTCGGGACACTACAGCCGTTGTGGGGGACGTGAGTGACACAGTGTTGTTCGGGAGGACAGACATAGATTTGGATTCCACCCGCCGTGTCACGGAGCACACTGCACGTCTACAACCGGGTTTGGGACCCCGCGACGGCAGGATGACCGCAGCGAGGGAGGTGGCAGCATCAGGTTGTGAGCCTCAGCGAGATCGCGACAGAGGAGTGTCCGCCGATAGCTTGGAGTACGCTCTGATGGCAGCGACGTGTTCCGTGCATGAGCAGACTCCACGCAAGCGCGGAGTGCCTCCTCGTCCACGCCCCGTACCCGCAGAGGGAGGAGATGCACTTGGAGAGACTTCGGGGGCAGAGGGGTTGGGGATGCCTCGTGGATCGCGCCGTGAGCAAACGGTTACAGAGGCTAGTGCGAGGGTTGTTGTGTTAAGGAAGGCAGGAGCCCCTGTCACCATCGAGGAGGATGATCCTGAGACAGATGTGGCAGTGCGGGAGGAGGACGAGGACTATGAGGGCGAGGAGGAGGGAGAGGAGGAGAGCGAGAAAGGTTCTGATGGTGACTACGACCACGACGAGCACAAGCCCCCACCTCCCCCACCGAAAGGTGCAGCCAGACGGCGCGCTGCGCAGACTTCTTCATCATCACGAGGGAGGAGGAGTTCGACATCCGACACGTGAGGGGGTACGAGGAGACAGAGCGGGAAGGGGAAGAAGCGTCGTTGACTGATGAGGCCAACACTCATTTTTTCCCCTGCTCGCACTGAGGTTCGTCATGTTGTGCGGTCCTATTTTTTTTGGTCGTCTCGTCTTGTCTTAGTGTTGTTAGGCTCTCAGTGGTTGTGTGCGTGCAACGTGCTACAAATATATTAGATGATGTTTCCTTTGTTTTCGGTGTGTATGATTTTGGTACCAGTATGGTGTTCGTAGAGTAGCGTTGTACCAGTAGGGTGTTCGCAGAGTAGCTACGACATGACTTGTACACTATAGTTTCGTTTGTTTTTTTTTCGACATGTGGTACCACTGCCTTAGCAGTAGCCTGTAGGATACATTGCATATGTTGCATTTTTCATTTTTGTTTTCAGTGAGAGGTACTTTGCGTCGTTGAGGACTTTTCATGCACAGTACATTTTCCATGTACAGTTTCAGTTTCGATTGATGCTCGTCGTCGGCGGCGTGCGCGAGCTTCCGTGACCATTTTCATCTGGTGTGATTTTATATATTTCATTCTTGTTATCATTTGCAATCTCATTTTCTGCGTTTGACGCCGTTTGTTTCTTGTACAWTTCTACTTTAGTTTTTTGCCTGAAGAGTTGCTTGTGTGCTTGTTCTTTCTTTTTTTCTTTTCTGTGTTGATTGTTGAATCAAATTATCATTGTATG